AATTGTCGTTAAGACATTGGAAGTTTCCCTTTGAATATTCCTTAAATTTTATAAATACCTTTGAGTATTTCGAAAGTCCCATCAAAACGGTAACAATATTATATTATATAATTTTTTAATTATTAAATTACTAAAATAAATTTTTTTAGTTCAAATTTACTAATTTTTATAATATTTATTATATAATTATTATTTTATTTTGTTTTGTTATTATTCTTGAATTTAATTAGTTATTTTGAATAAATAATTCTTTTAGCTTAATAATAATTTTATTATTATTTATTATTATTTATATTTTTTATTTGTAATAGTTATTTAAATTGCTAGTATAAAAGTTATATTAATCAAATTTTCTGTAATTGAATAATATTATCATTTTTCATAAATTTTTCAATTTATATCCAACTTTTATTTTTCTAGTTTTTGTTATCCATTAATTTGTTATACTAGTTGTGATAAGTAATTTTGTATTTTAGTATTTTTATAATCAGAAATATTTATTCAGAATATTAATAGAAGAAAAAGAAAATTATCATTATTAATAATAAAAAATGACGAAATTATATTAATTAAACAAAAAATTCTGTGTATTAAAAAACATGACTTTATTATAAAAGAGAGAACTACGAATCTATCAAAAATATAACTATAGATTCATCAAAAATGTAACTTTGTGTGAAAGTCTGGTTGTTACAATATTATATGAAAATATAATCCCTAAGTCAAATTTAACTAATAAACTTGTAGCATATAAATATTATTTGTGAAAAAGTTGATTTATTAAGAGATCGAATTATTATCGATAATTCTCCAACTAGTAAGAGAACCAGGATCAAAAATATATAGAAGAATAAATAGGTGATTAATCCATCTCAGATTTTGTATACAGTCAATCCTCTCTATAGTTACACTGTTGGATCCAATTTATAGGAAGACTTTCGTATGATTGGCTGATGTAAATCAATTGCCCGGGTAACTTATTTATATACTTTTTGAGAACGTCGCATTTTACTAATAAAAATCATCATAAAAACCATTTCTAGAATGTTAACATTTATTATACAAAAGAATCTTCAAATAATCCAGAATCTGACATATTTTACTTAGAAGGCAAAAATTTTACTATTTATTACTATTATCAACTCTATATTGTACTATTGTGCTCAAAACAGTCAACGAAAAAGACAAGCAAGATATTTAAGCTTAAAGAAAAGTTTTATATACATATATCATTTACTTTATAATCTTTAAATCTAAAATAAAAGAAGTTCATTGGATAATGTGTATAAATACATATGAATAGCATAAATAAAATAATGTTGTTTAATTATAGGCTAAGGATTGTAATGTGTGTCTCTAGTAAAGGTAGTGATGACTAAAAAATGGAATAGTATTACTATTTAAATATAAATAGAGTAAAGCTTCGCTAATTTCTTTGATTTGATTGGTTAATAATCATGCTTGGATCGATATAAATTAGCCAATCACAATAACAATTGTATTGTTTACGACATTGAATTACCAAATTTGTGTAATCGACCCTTAATCGATCCTATGATGCAAATCCCATGAAAATTAACCAATCACATGAAAGTCCTCCAATGACCGATACGTACTACGAAACATGTACTACATGTACAATAACGTATCGGTATATGATTTTTATCAGTCTGTTGGTTTATCCTCATTTTGGTTAGCACATGGTTATCCTCAATTTGTCGTACATGTTAGTTTATCCTCATTTTGGTTAGTACATGTACATGGTTACGTATGTTGTCCGATGGTTTTTTGGTTTATCCTCATGTGATACGAAAGTTTTGCTTTTATCCCATGTACGGAATTTACTAATTCCTCCCAAGTTCTGATTGGTTGAGGATATTAAAGGTTAGTTTGAGCGTTAGGATCAAGGGTTAGGACTGGAGGGTAGATTGTATGTGAAATTGTCTTTCCGACATTTTTTATTAGTGCTTCGAGCCAGGTTTACCCATTCATTTTCTGTATTTTTCACATTATTCGCCTTTTTAATTTTCTTGTGTCGGATTTATTTTGCCGGGTTGATCAAAAAGTTATGCATCTTTATTGGTTGATTTATAAGACCCGGTATGCAGTCAACCAATCAGCGATGGAGATTACTTTTATCCAATCAGAACTTTGGGAGGAGATTAGTAAATGCACATGTACATAGTACGAAAGTTTGCTGCAAATATAGTTTTTCCCAATCAATTGCGTCAGAGTGAAGCATATTAAATAGAATTTCGGTTAGGGTTATGGTTAGATTTAGAGTCAGGGTTATTGTATAGCAAACGAAATAAAGAATAATAAAATTTTGCAAGAAACATTTTTTATCAAAGCACAAAAAATAGTTTCATATATCAGTAGGTTTTGTCGATCATAGACCAGTAGCCAATAAGAATGCGTAATTTTTTGATCAGACCGGCAAAACAAATCCGACACAAGGGAAGAAAAAAATACAAGAAATGCGAAAAATACGAGAAACAGGTGCCTAAATCTAGCTTGGATACTAATTAAAAAACGTCGGTGAGGCAATTTTATTTATAACCAGTATCTCAGCCCTAACCTATTCCTAAAACCAACCTCTTAATGTTAATTAATATAGCAGAATTTCAACAAAACCTAGCACAGATTCTGATGTGCAGCGTAATAATGTGACACATAAGAATGATAATTACAATTTACATGTAATACACGTACTGTACGTACTTTCCTTTGTAAAATTCCTGATGTGTGACCAAAAACAAAATGTTAAGGAGGCAACATTGAAAGAGCATAAATCAGTATAAGTATAAATATAAATATAAACAACAAGAATGGCTAGACCAATAACACTATCATAATCCTAACCTTAATCAACTTTTAGCTTTAACATTTCTGTGTGACGAGCCCATTCGATCAAGAGAAATAAAATTTTTGATAATCAACGTTTGGATTTACTTCCTATAAAATACAATCTAGGATCCTGGACACTTCTAAATTTCTCCAGTGTAACACATCAAATTTCTCGCTCACTTCACGTGTACGTGATATGGAAAAGTTAATTTGATATAACTTAACGTAAGGAAAATAAGTTATAGTTTACTGAATAATTCATTGATTTTGGTGTCTCCATGGATTATTTATTACGTTTGTTTGCGAAATTGTCGCTTACTTACCATGGTTATTAATTTGACGATAAATTATATATGCCTACTAAAGAGAAATATAATTTGTCATTTGTAGTCAGACAATTCACAGGGGATAAAAAATAGTCATATTTTGACTTTGCATATAATAAAGTGATCTTTAATGGTGGTTATAAGAATAATGCGTGTTTTACAACTATGCTTCATGTGGTTTATCTTTTCATGACGGGTATACAACAAGGGGAGGGCACTTGAGTCAGTGCTATACGGTATATTCAAAATTATATTTCAGGTAGTGGATGAAGTAGATATCCAGTTTCGATTAAAGATGCACTATCATGAGTCTCATAATCATCCTTTCGGATATTTCACAAGCATATTTGTGCCCATGTGTCCCTTTAGAGATCTATTTATTATGCTGAATCAGCACGTGAAAATTTATTAAGAATCTTTATATCATAATTAATTATGTCATATTTAGGCTAAATTTTGCCTAATAGAGATAGATAATTCTGTCCATCCATATACATGTATTTAATTGCCACAAAAGATAGGTTGCCAACTTTATTCAACAACGTGGCAATTTTCCCATTTTTTCAAATGCAGCAACAACAGCAGCAGCAAAGAAACCGTTTATTACATTTTCAAATATTCGGAGTAAATGTTTCCGAGTTACAGCAAATATTTATCTGGGTATTTGCAATGCTCACTTATACTCCATTATCCCTTTGGTTAGCTTTGGCATTCTCAGTTGGTGGCTTGATCACGTGTATACCAGCAATGATTTGCTGGATTGGGTTGTTAGTGTGTGCAATTGTTGGTGTCGGAAGCTCACTGTTTCTTGGTAAATAATAAAACGGATTAATCTTTTTTTGTTGAGGGTTTTTGCATAATAATTTTTAATTTTATGAAAAATAGTTCTTATCGGGATGATATTATTTTTCCCGATAACTATTGTAGCATTGATTATATCATTTTGGATTTCGTTGACATGGTTTGGATACAAAATTTTTGCTTTCTATGTATCAAAAATCATATAATAATTTATTTATAAATTAGTTTTTTATTGTTATACATAAAGTGCAATGTGTGAGAATCCTTGATTTGAATTTATTGCTTTTTAGCATTTGGAAGTTACGTAGTCATCTCCCGTTAAACTCGCCTCGATAATCGAAGTTGGTTTAGGAACAGATATAGTCAATAAATTGAATTTCCTGCTAAATAAACTGAATTTTGTAAAATTTTCTGACCACTTCAGACCGACGTGTTTGTAACCTTCTGATTATAATCTTATGTAATTAAATTTTAGCTCATGATGTGTAATAAAGTATGTCATACCTTTTTACTTAATTACTATATTCGCTTATCAACTCTCGAAAAAGATTATGATGTCATCATTGCAAGAAATAAATTCCAAACGTTATCTACGTGACCACTACAACATCTGAATTCCGAAAGAAGTCAAGAAATGCACAATTAAAAAATTTACCGTCGATGAGTCGAAACCGAAAGGAAGTGCCGTAGTTTTGATTGTTACTTCAATCACATGTTTTTATCTTACAATGCATTTTCACTAATGTAATGGTCAAGTAAGCGCATTTGGACAGTTGCAACAGGTAGGAGTATCTCCTGACGCAAGGAAGTATTGAACCAACGATCACGTCTGTTAGTCCCTACAAATTGCCTGACAAAATAAGTCCTTAAAATAATACAATTTTTATATTTATTTACCCTGATTTACGGAATTATTAAAATAGGAAGCCAATATGATGAGAGACATACTACCGGTGGTTTTAAAAGAGATGAACCGGCAAGAAAAACAAAATTGCTACCGAGACTTGAAGAATGTTGAGCAAACGGAGGATATTATTGATTGAAATTTGTAATTTCCTTATGAGAATCTCACTTCAACGCTATTAAATTATAATAATGCTTGGTTGTTTTACTAACTAGCATGAAAAAACAAGCTGAAAATCGCAATCTTTGTCAATAATAACGAATGACATCGATTTTTTTAAACTCAATTTATTTTGTAATAATCGAATTAGGTCATAAGTTTGTTCTTGACGCTTAAACTCCAAAATTTTAAGAGATATTTTATTAGTTAAAAATATTCAATTACTATATTCTCGAATACATGCTGATTAAACTCGACAATTCCATAGGTTTTCTTCACAATAACCAAAAGAAAACCTGTCATCCTCCGAATTTCCAAACTCTGTTTACATAAACACTACCGGTTTCAATCCAACTTATCCTGAACCACTACCGACCGAAGTTTCTATCTCTGCAAAAACTCACAAAAGTGTCCCGGAAACTCCAGAAGTTCATCATTTGACACAATTAAAGAAACTCGTTACTAATGAATCGAAGAAACCTAGTTCAGGCGAAATTCCGAAAGGAAGTGCCGCAGCTTTGGCTCGTATGCTTCCTATTTGTTTATTCATGTGGATCATTTCCTTGTAATAACAAATAAACAAGAAGCAGAGGCTCGTCAAGAATTTGAGAAACAAGCTATCGGTGGTGTTATCAAAGATGGGCCAGCGATAAAAACAAATCGCCACCAAGAGACTCGAAGAGTATATGCAAAAGAAAGCTGAGATTAACTGTCTAAAACTTGATAATTTACTATGTACATGTAATAATAGTTGGTCTCATCATGAGTGAATAAATTGACCAATTTAAATTTTGTCATTCTAAAAGTTTCTCCTCCTATAGGTATTAAATGACCCAAAAGCTCATTAATAGTTATGAACAAATTCTCGCTATAGAATAACAGTAACACGCGATTGCAAAGTTCCTTCATGTAATATATCAGCTTCAATAAAGTACGAATTACTGAATCTTCGATTGTTTCTAATAAATATTTATTTGTTTATATCGATTTATTGAATCTAACTGTTTTTGTTTCTATTCAACTGTAGGTATTCGCTATTTCCATCAGGATATTAGTCACCACACAGGGAAAAAAGGTGTAAGTTTAATACGTGTCAGTGTCAACCTTATGATAAACTAATGCACGTTTACTTGCATAAAATTTCCAATTCGATAGATTTACCAAGATGATAAACTGATAAATTAGTGCATATATACGTACGTACTACGTTGGGGTATTCGGTGCACTATGTAGATCAAATTTATGTATAGTCCCATATAAAAATGATTAGATCAAATTTTTGTGTA